AGTCTTCGAGATACGTAGTTTCTTGGGATTGGTGGGGTACTATCGACGATTTATTGAGGATTTCTCCCGATTGGCTATGCCTATGACGAAGTTGATCCGGAAAGAGGTCAAGTTTGTGTGGAATGATTCTTGTGAGAATGCATTCTAGGAGTTGAAGAGGAGGCTTACTTCGGCTCATATTCTGATAGTTCCAGAACGGGGACAGAGGTACACGGTCTATTGTGGTGCCTTGAAAGACAGGTTGTGATGTGTTTTGATGCAGTCCGGGAGGGTAGTAGCTTATGGTTCTCGGCAGCTAAAGAATCACGAGCATAATTACCCCACATATGACATGGAGTTGGCGGCCATTGTCTTTGCCTTGAAGGCTTGACGTCACTACCTGTATGGCGAGCAATTTGAAGTATTTTTAGACCACAAGAATCTGAAGTACATTTTTACATAGTGGGACCTCAACATGAGGCAACGTAGGTGGATGGAGTACCTCGAAGATTATGACTTAACTTTGCATTACCATCCTGATAAAGCAAATGTGATGGCTGNACATGAGGCAACGCAGGTGGATGGAGTACCTCGAAGATTATGACTTAACTTTGCATTACCATCCTGATAAAGCAAATGTGATGGCTGATGCACTCAGCCGAAAGTCACGAGAAGTTATGGCTAGTGTGGCTTCGTGAGAGTGGCAGATGCTCGAGACTGTGAGACAGTTTGGGCTATGGGTCAAGCTCAGGGTACTTTGGGGAGTTTGGTGGCTACACCGTCCCTACTGAGTAGGGTGATTGAGTCCCAGAATCAGGACACATAGCTTTTGTCCATCCGGGACTGTGTACAGGTAGGTATAGGTGATGAGGGCTAGGTTATTCACTCAGATGGTAGTCTTCGGTATCGAGAAAGGGTTGTGGTTCCTTAGTTGGCGGATCTGAGAGAGGAGATCCTTAAGGAGTTTCATTGCTCCCGTTTTGCGGTTCATCCAGGGGGCACGAAGATGTATCATGATCTTCGTCACCAGTATTACTAGAGTGGAATGAAGAGGCAGGCTTGTGACTTTGTCAGTCGATGTCTCACATGTCAGCAGGTTAAGGCTGAACACCAGAGACCAACAGGTTTGCTCCAGCCCTTAGAGGTAACTGAGTGGAAGTGGGAGCATATCACAATGAATTTTGTGACCCATTTGCCATGGACATCGCGGGTTCATGACATGGTGTGGGTGATAGTGGACCGGCTTACTAAGTCGGCACACTTTTTGGCTGTACGGATGACCTTTACACTGGAGGAATTCTGCAGGTTGTATATACGGGAGATTGTCCGGTTGCATGGGGTACCCATCTCTATCGTATCGGATCGGGATCCCAGGTTTATGGCTCATTTTTGGGAGAATTTTCAGCGGACCATGGGGACACAGCTGATGATGAGCACTGTTTTTCATCCCCATACGGACGGTCAATCAGAGAGGACTATCCAGACCTTAGAGGACATGCTACGGGCATGCGTCCTTAATTTCAAGGGTGGCTGGGAGGAGCATTTACCATTAGTAGAGTTCGCCTACAACAACAGTTATCAGGCGAGTATACAGATGACACCCTATGAGGCACTTTATAGGAGGCCATGTCGTTCTTCGATTTGCTAGACCGAGGTTGGAGAGAGACCCTCCACGAGTTTGGATTTGATTAGAGACACTTCAGAGAAGATAGACTTGATACGAAAACGTCTTATCACGGCTCAAAGTCAGCATAAGAGTTACGCCGACAGACGGCGGCGACCTCTGGAGTTCGAGGTTGGAGATCATGTCTTCTTAAAGGTGATGCCTAAGAGGGGAGTGGTCAGGTTCAAAAAGCGGGAAAAGCTGTCACCGAGGTATATTGGGCCCTTCGAGGTACTTGAGAGGATTGGTACAGTTACCAATCAGTTGGCATTACCACCAAATCTATCTGGTGTTCACGCGGTGTTCCATGTTTCTATGCTTTGAAAGTACACTCCAGATCCTACACACGTGGTGGATTGGGGTAAGCTAGTGATTGATGCGGATGAGACCTTTGAGGAGGGACCTGTGCGTATCATAAACAATCGAGAGCAGGTTTTGCGGGGCAAGACTGTAAGGCTGATAAAGGTGTTGTGGCAGCACCGTAGGGTAGAGGGGGCGATATGGGAGCGTGCGGACACTGTCCGAGCTACCTATCTGTTTTTGTTCGAGGATGAAGGTACATCTCTTATAGTCATAGAATATTTAATGACTTTTTGCATATGCATGTCGTTATATGTGCATGTGGGTATAATTTCGGTGACGAAATTTTCTTAAACGGGAAAGAATGTAAAACACGAAAAAAAAAATTATTATTATTATTATTAAAAATCCTAATTAAAGGGGTAAAATAATAATTAATTGTTAAATTACGGGTCAAAAACATAAATTTCAAAAAAAAAAATAAATTTATACTCTATATATATATAAGTGGAAGACTTTGTCTTCCACTTTTTGGTTTTGTTCTGGAGAGACAGCGAAACAGAGAGTGAGAGAGAGAAAAGAGAGTGTTTTTTTTTTGTTTTCCTCTTTTCTTTTTCTTCAGATCTATGAAGATTGGACGGTTTAATTGCTTCGGGCCAATAATTAAAGTTGCTCTATGCAGCGAGAACTACACAACCACACCAAATATCGTATTTTTCTCCGAAAGAATATCAAAGCCGATAATCTAGGCCTAAGGCTTATGAAGCTAAATTTGGGCTTTCTTGGAGTTCTAGTAAGTGGGTTCACGCTACAAGAGATAGGATTTTCCTTATTTAGATTTAATTTCAACTTAAAATATGACATATGGAATGGGTAGGCCATGAGTTTATATTACATATTAGGTCTTGACTAGTGTAACTAGTGGGTCAAATATAGAATTTATAATTATCCTTATGATTAATAAAATTCTATTACGATTAACTTGGTGTAAGTTAATGTTAGTGGTTTAAAACATGTTAATTGTATATTAGCATTATTTTATGTTTTAATGACATATCAAGTTTAATAAAATTATTAGCTCGTTATGTGATTATGAAATATTATATATGTTAAAAGATTATTTAACATATGATTATTTTGGTGGACTTGTGCTTATGTTTATATAATTAATAAACATGTTGTCATGTTGAAAGTCATAGCATGCTAGTTGTGTAAATTGATGTGCTCTTTAAGTGTTTGATTAAATGCTTAGGTGAATACAAGTATGTTAATTAAGTTGATTATCTTACATAACATGCTTGAGATCGTGTCAAAATGTTATTATATTGTATTCATTATGTAATGAACATTGTATTGCATTATGCATGAGTTGCACTACATTCATGGGCATTGACATGGGTGGGAGTGTATGCGTGGTATGAAATCAATCACCATATAGGTGGTTGATCGTGGGTTCGAAAAAGTCACACCAAGGTTTGGCTGAGTCGCACAAAAAATTAAATGGATAAATGTATTGGAGACAACAAGAAGGGCTAGATTCTCCCTCGGGTGCAAGACCCGCTTACTTAGTTTATACACTTTCCAGCGGTAAAATTCCAGAAAAGTGTAACGGCGAAAACGGAGCCGCAGGTGGGATGTCCTAAAGATTCGTTGATGGTTGGTGTCCTATTGGTGTAATACCATATATCACCTCCCCACAAAAATACAAGAAAATGAATTAATTAGTCATTGAATGTACATAACACCAATGATGGGGGCTTGGAATGCCCGAATACATACGCATGACATTGCATGTGTTATGGGAGCTCAGGATGGGGCTTGGGGTTGGTATTGCTTGCGTGAGTCTCATCTCATGACATGACATGATTTATGACATTCGATCATAATAGACATATTTGAATGAATGCATCAAATGATTGTTGCATGTGACATTCCATATGCATTTAGGTTTACAGGTATTCTCTATAGGTGTTACTCTATTGAGCGTTAGCTCACCCTTTGTGGAAATATGTTTCAGATATCGTATAGGCGTCCACCGAAAGAGAGGCCATGGGCCCGTTTTGACGACAGAGCCGGTTTGTGGCTCTTATTTTGACATTGTAGTCCCTTGTTTATATTTAATTTTGGCCTTGTATAATTTTTGTAACAAAAACTTGTTTATATTTACAAAGACATGTATATGAGACTCTTTTGGGACATTTATTCTTTTACGAATAAATGTATGTATTGATGATGATTATGGTAGTATTCGATACTATACAATTGTAAATGAATGGATAGACTCGGTGTGGTCAATATTGTACAAGTTGCGTTTTGGGTAGAGCTCCTCGTACAAAAGAGACTCTGCCCAAATTTTGTTAAGTTATGGATCCTGAGAAATTGGGCATAACGGTGTGGTATCGAATTACATGATATCCACAAGTATTCCGCGGGTCAATGGGTGATCAATCGGATAATTACAGTCACCCGAATTTTGGGGTGTCACACCGATTCAATCAAAACATTGAATGGAGCTTCGGAGTGATTTCGTGTCAACAAAGGCCCGCAAGAGAGTATTGGCAAAGGCTCGACGGTGCAAATATGCCTCGATGTGTATGCTTTCATTTTTGCCTTCGTGTAGGCGAAAGGGAAGTGAAGCTGCGGTATTATATGAGTCTGGGTTACGGCATGCGCTCATGGTGGTGGGCTTTGCTAGTTGGAGAAGGTCATCATTGACGACAACGATGGTCATGGTGTTGCTTGTCACGAGAGGGTGGACTAAGTTGTGGGTTGATTGTTATGAAGGAGGTAGATGTTCTACTTGCCGACAAGGTTGTTGGATTCTTGGGGTAATTGGAGTTGCTAGTTTCAATGGGTAGCTTGGTTTGCTGAAGATGGCTTGGGTGTTGGGTGGGGTGAGATTTTTCATTTTTCCATTTTTTTTTCCAAAGGCATAAAGATTAAAGGGTAGATGTGTCTTTTAAAATAACTAAGGGTCAAATAACCAACTTCTGTTAATTGTTAATGGTTAGAGTAACAAAAATGGAGTCATTATATTCAAACTTGAAGGGGGTACATTGTTTAAATTGAAACCAGAATGAGTTGATTACAACATGAACCAATCTTTGAGGGGGCATTTTATAATTAACCCTAAAATCAAATATGGGTTACAAGTTAATGATTGAGATGGTAATAGGGTCAATAGAGGTAACTTCGAATTTCATGAAAATTTATTGCTCAAGGGTTACCAATTTCCTCTCAAAGATTGAAGCTCATCGTGGTTGATGGAAGTATGATTCATTTTTGGGAAGATGCATGGTTTAGTGAGGTTCCTTTGTGTGAGCTTTTCCTCGTCTTTACCGTATTTCATTGTTTCATGGTTATAAGAGTGCTTCAGTAATTTGGTATGAGTCTTCTATGGTCTCTTGGGATTTTGGATTTTATACAAATCTTAATGATATGAGAGTATTTGGATGTTGTGGATATTATTTCTTTGCTTAACATTATTTCATTGACTCAAGGTCGCGTGGATCAAAAAGTTCCACTATAGAGTCTTCTGGAATTTTCTCTAGTTAATCTTTATTTGAATCTTTAATTGATAATCCTTTTCTTCCGTTGTGTTCCCCTTCGAGGGTGATTTGGAAAGTCAAAGTGGTTTTGAAAGTGTAAATTTGTGTATGGATTATTACTCGTGGCAAACATAATATTTATGATATAATTCAAAGAAGGAGATCTAAGGTTTGTCTTTCATCGCATAGGTGTGTTATACGTAAAGGTGGTGGGGAGTGGGTTGACCATTTATTTCTACATTGTCCTATTGCATTCTCTTATGGAATAAGATGTTTAGACTTGCTGGGCATTGTTGGGTGGCACCATGAAGTTTGTTTTCAATGTTATGCTTTTGCGTGGAGGCGGGAATAGGAGGTGGAAGGCTCTTTGGCGTTGTGCATGGAATGCTTTGGTTTGGGTGATTTGGTTGGAAAGAAATGCAAATTTTTTTTATGATANGCTCTTTGGCGTTGTGCATGGAATGCTTTGGTTTGGATGATTTGGTTGGAAAGAAATGCAAATTTTTTTTTATGATAAATGCAATGAGGTTGAAGAACTTTAAGAACAGATTTACTTTTTGGCTTCCTTTTGAACCTATGTGTCTAAAGAATTTGAAGATATCCCTTTGCCTTGCATTATTTTAAGCTGGACGGCATCCTGTGTAATGTAGTGAATTGCATTTGCAATGTTTATTTGCTCTTTTGTTTTCCCTGTTTCGTGTCTTAGTTTTTGCTCCAACTNAGATGTGTCTTTTAAAATAACTAAGGGTCAAATAACCAACTTCTGTTAATTGTTAACGGTTAGAGTAACGAAAATGGAGTCATTATATTCAAACTTGAAGGGGGTACATTGTTTAAATTGAAACCAGAAGGAGTTGATTACAACATGAACCAATCTTTGAGGGGACATTTTGTAATTAACCCTAAAATCAAATATGGGTTACAAGTTAATGATTGAGATGGTAATAGGGTCAATAGAGGTAACTTCGAATTTCATTAAAATTTATTGCTCAAGGGTTACCAATTTCCTCTCAAAGATCNGTAACTTCGAATTTCATGAAAATTTATTGCTCAAGGGTTACCAATTTCCTCTCAAAGATTGAAGCTCATCGTGGTTGATGGAAGTATGATTCATTTTTGGGAAGATGCATGGTTTAGTGAGGTTCCTTTGTGTGAGCTTTTCCTCGTCTTTACCGTATTTCATTGTTTCATGGTTATAAGAGTGCTTCAGTAATTTGGTATGAGTCTTCTATGGTCTCTTGGGATTTTGGGTTTTATACAAATCTAAATGATATGGGAGTATTTGGATGTTGTGGATATTATTTCTTTGCTTAACATTATTTCATTGACTCAAGGTCGCGTGGATCAAAAAGTTCCACTATAGAGTCTTCTGGAATTTTCTCTAGTTAATCTTTATTTGAATCTTTAATTGATAATCTTTTTCTTCCGTTGTGTTCCCCTCCGAGGGTGATTTGGAAAGTTAAAGTGCTTTTGAAAGTGAAAATTTGTGTATGGATTATTACTCGTGGCAAACATAATATTTATGATATAATTCAAAGAAGGAGATCTAAGGTTTGTCTTTCATCGCATTGGTGTGTTATACGTAAAGGTGGTGGGGAGTGGGTTGACCATTTATTTCTACGTTGTCCTATTGCATTCTCATTATGGAATAAGATGTTTAGACTTGCTGGGCATTGTTGGGTGGCACCATGAAGTTTGTTTTCAATGTTATGCTTTTGCGTGGAGGCGGGAATAGGAGGTGGAAGGCTCTTTGGCGTTGTGCATGGAATGCTTTGGTTTGGGTGATTTGGTTGGAAAGAAATGCAAATTTTTTTTATGATAAATGCAATGAGGTTGAAGAACTTTAAGAACAGATTTACTTTTTGGCTTCCTTTTGGACCTATGTGTCTAAAGAATTTGAAGATATCCCTTTGCCTTGCATTATTATAAGCTGGACAGCATCCTGTGTAATGTAGTGAATTGCATTTGCGATGTTTATTTGCTCTTTTGTTTTCCCTGTTTCGTGTCTTAGTTTTTGCTCCAACTNTGTGTAATGTAGTGAATTGCATTTGCGATGTTTATTTGCTCTTTTGTTTTCCCTGTTTCGTGTCTTAGTTTTTGCTCCAACTTGGACATGTCTTTTGTACTTTTGTTTTTATGATTAATGAAATCATTGTTTCTTATCAAAAAAAGAAAAAGAAAAGATACTGCTACTTCTAGCACAAGACATATTTCAAATATAAAAGGTTTGGGAATCAAGGTATTTCAGTAGTTCCATGTGGTTTCATTTCTCAGGGATTTATCCCGGAGACTGGTGCATGTGGGATGGGGGAGGTAGATAATGCAGCTGCTAAGAGTCTTGCATACCGCTTTGTTAGCTCCTCAATCCCCCTCAGGCTCAAGAAATTGTTTCAGTAAAGTTTTAACTTCATTAACAATCGAGTGGATATTTTGGGACCACTCCTAAATGGAAGGTGTAGCATCCATTCTAATGCCACATGTCATTAAAAATGGTAACTTGGGTCCTTTATACTAACTTGATGAACTCTTATTTGAAATTGAAGCCAAGTTGAGCCAATTAGTAGAGTTAACTCCTAAAGGAATGACAAGAAACAAAAACATGTCTCTTTCGAGTTTTAAAGATTCTCATAGTTTGATTTATTTACCTTTGCTTTTTTGAGGTTTATTTTAAGGCATGCAATTATTGACAGTTCTGAGATTCTGTGAGAGTTGTAGACCACTTGGGCTGCCGACCTTTATTGTTGAGGAAATATTCNCAGTTCTGAGATTCTGTGAGAGTTGTAGACCACTTGGGCTGCCGACCTTTATTGTTGAGGAAATATTCAAAGATTCTAAGGCCGGCTTTGTAAGAATTTGTGTTTTGACTGTTGCTTCAATTTGTTTTGTCAGTATTGGTCTACCCTGGAACAGGTTTGGTTTATCTCTAGGTATTGTGGCCATCAGATGAACATAATTTTTGTGAGACAGAGGATCGGCCCCAAGAGAATCATTTCACGTGTATCGGATTTAAGTAACTTGATATGCTGCAAGCTTGACTCATTTCAATTTTTTTTTATAAGAGACTACAATTTTATTAATAATTGAAATAAAAACAGTGGGTGCAAGAACCAATCAAAAGTGGACAAGTTGTCCAACCTAATGAATGGTAAAACATAAAATAGTAAAAAACAAAAGACTAAATCATTGAAACCATATTACAAANTTGTCCAACCTAATGAATGGTAAAACATAAAATAGTAAAAAACAAAAGACTAAATCATTGAAACCATATTACAAACCACATGATGCTGTCCAACGCGTCATGATACTAAGAAGAGGAATATTATCAAAATCCTTTGCCACATATGCCCAAAAAGAAGCCAAGAAAATAAAGCTGATTCCATAACCAATCAACATCTTTGAATTTGTCTTAAAAGTTTCTCGTATTTCTTTCCATCCATAAAACCCAAATTGTTGCAAGAAAACACAATGCCGAAGAGTCTTCCCTCTTCTACTTCTTACCAATCCCATAAAGTTCAAGCAAATCATAGATAATATAGATGTTAGTCACCCAACAAAGGCCAACTAGTTCAAAGAATTTATTCCATACTGATAAAGCCATAGGATAATGCAGAAATAGATGATCTACAAGTTATAGGTCTACTTCGGTAGAGCACACCATTGGTATTAATCTTACAATGAGTAATTAGCCAGGCACAAACTTGCACATTCAAAGGAAATACTGGTTGTCCAAATCTTGGAAGATGATAAAACAGTGGAAGTGAAGAGTCGTCAATTAATGACTCGAAGTAGGAATTACAAGAAAAGGCAGTCAACGGATCACCAATCCCAACTTTTTTATCCAAAGAGCTTTGGAACAAAGAGACATTGGTGAGCATAGTAAGTAGTAACATCAATTCAAGATTTCTACATAATCCAAATTTCCAAGACAGCGGAGAAGAATAAATGTGACAAATGATGCAATACATTTCTTATGATTGCAAGCAATACTGTAAGGCAAGAAAAGTACTAGCCCATGAAGACTCTCCCCGCCAAATATTGTGTCAAAGACGAACCCCCGACCCATCTCCCACAATGAAACTCGCCTTGTGGGAAAAGTTAGGTAACCCATGAGCAATAAACTACCCTGGAATCCTGAAGGTGGTCCCCCTTTCAACTCTCCCACCCATTAGCTCGTATACCATATTTGTTCCTCATAACCGCGTGCCTCAATGAATTTTGCTCTAATGGAAATCTCTATAGCCATTTTCCAAAAGACCACATTCCTTGTTATCAGCGAGAATATTGACTAATTGATGTTCTACACAGCT